CCCCAATAGCTGGGCCTAGGCAATTGGAAGCCAGTTTAGATGGGGCTCTCGGACATTCTGAGACCTTGTCCTCAGGACAGGAGCACCCAGGGCAGGAAGAATCCTGGACCCCAGCACTGGGGCTGGTCAGTTCCTGTGTCCTTTTGGTATCTAAGTGCAGCCTGCACGCCATCACAGCCCCGTTGGGTGGCTAGCATTCTCAGCTTGCTGGACGTTTTCTACATCTTGTTTAAATGTTAGTGTGCTTTTAAAAGAAGAAATTGAGGGGGGAGGGAACCAGCAGGTGGCATAATGGTTATGTCACTGAACTACCACATAGTCAACCACGGTTTAAGCCCTGGACCCAGCGGTTTAAAAACTCATGCCGAGTGCATGTGTGTGCCCAAAATTCCTAGAGGAGAATGGAGGAGAAGGGATTGTGGCGTGGCCATCCCCCCGGGGGATGATTTCTCTCTTCCCGTTTCTCTTTCTCTCTCTCTCTTTGGGGAGCACATGTGCCCTATTGCAAAAGTCTCTCTTAAAAAAAAAGGTCAAACTTTTATTTTTAAGAATTTTTTAATGTAACTTTATTTATTTACTTACTTACTTATTTCAGTTTGACCAGAGAGGGACGGGTGGTGGTGGTGGTGGTGGTGGTGGGGGGAGAAAGCAAGCCACCAGTCCAGAACTAGAACCACAGTCGGCCATGTGGAAGTCCAGCGCCTTTAACCACCACGCCACCTGCCATCCCCTTAAAACTTTTTTAAAGTCTTGCTCCCCACATCCCCTCCCCTGCTTCCTGTCTCTGTGCATGGCAACCTATGGGGCGACCTTTCCGAGTATGGGCGTTCTGTCTGCTTGGAGGTGAACACATCTCTCAGGCTAAGTCGGCACCGAGCTGTTTTCAGCCCACTTTTCCAGGGAGGCTACAGCCTCCAGGAGCAGGCCCCCTCATCCTCTGTGCTTTCCTATCGAGTCAGCAGGGAAGAAGCTGCTAGTGTCCCGGAATGGCCTCCGCTCTCTTCCCCCTTTTCCATTTCGCAAATGGGCCTTAGAGTGCTAAGGTGGCATGGGTTTTCTGACAGTAAGAGGCCTGTAGTAGAAATGAGGGTAGGTATTGAATAGCTGAGTGGGGGGTGTTCCAGTCTTCAGTTTCCCTGTCCTGGAGGGAAGGATTTGCCTTGACTCAGCCCTGCACAGTACAGGAATTCTTCCAAAAGATGAGCTGCTGATGGGGATGACCATCCTGCAGATTCCCTGTATCACTGAGCAGCTGAAAGCTGGCTCCAGACGCTCGCCCACCAGCTCCCTTGCCCCAAGGTGATATCGTCCCCTCCCACACCCCTGCGTCTCTGCAGTCTTCTCTGTCATCCTGCCATGTGGGCATACGGGGCATCAAAAGGGAGAAACAGGGACAGAGCAGACTTCCCTTGAAAGTACTTTCTCTAGTGTTAGGTAAGGTGTCCTCCAATACAGGGTCATTGTCTCAAAGGGGACTCAGAGATAACACTCAGTCCTGTCCCCTCCGCTTTATCAGCAGGTATGTTCCTATCATCCTTTGCTAGATGGGCACCTCAGAGGGCTCTGTCCTTTCAAAAGGAGTTTTTTATGCCACTGACCTTGTAAAGAGATGCTCGCCCTGTTACATCAGTGTTCGGCCTTCTGAAGCTTCTCAGATGGAAATAGCGGGAACACAGGCACTTAGTGAAGGACGAGCCGTGCGGCTGTGCACGTCAGATGTGAAAGGACAGTGGGCCTTTGAGCGGACATGACCGTCTTCCCACCAAGCTCCCCTACGCTCCTTCTGCTCCCTGTGCATGTACTGTTGTGTTTTTGTTGTTGTTTTGTTTTTCAGTTTGCTATAGGGCACGTGCACTTGCTAGAGAGAGAGAGGGAAAGTGAGACATCACCCCTCAGGGGACATGGCCATGCTGTAATCCCTTCTCCATTCTCCTATTGGGATTTGAAGCACACATGCACATACACCTGGCATTATTTTCAAGCCACCAGATCTGGGACTCAAACCGTGCATTTGGCCATGTGAGGTCAGCTGCTTTAACCTCCATGCCACCTACTGGCCTGCAGCGTACTTCTTTGGAGTTGCCCTCTGTGGAAGGGTTGGAGATGACAGCCTGCCACGTCACAGGAAGAATCATTTGCCAGGAGCAGGAGGAAATTGCTGTTCGGCTGGGCTGAGTGTGCTCTCTGGTATTTACTGACTCTGACCAGTTGCCACATGTCCAGGTGCTTGTAACAATTTCAGGATAGGCCAATCAAAGCCAGAGGTTTGGGCCAGCCTATGGCATTGTGATTGAAGCAGGTGACTCCCACATGGCTGACTGTGCAGTCGAGTCCCAGACCCAGTGCGTGTGTGCCCCAAATTCTAAAATGAGACCAGCGGTTGGTGTAATGGCTACATTGCTGGGCTCCCATGTAGTCAACAGTGGTTTGAGTCCCGTACCCGGTGGCTTAAAGTCATGCCGGGCGCATGTGCATGCATGCCCAAGATCGCAAGAGGAGAATGGAGGAGAAGGGATTGCGGCGTGGCCATCCCCCCTGGGGGGTGATTTCTCGCTTTCTGTCTCTGTCTGTCTCTGTCCTTCTGGCTAGTGCATGCACCCTATAGCAAAAACCTCTCATCAATAAATAAATACTTAAATCTTCTAAAATGTTTCTTTAAAAATTAATTAATTAATTAATTAAAAACCTAGAACTTCTAAAATGTTTCTTTGAAACTAAAAGGAAATATGGCTCCAGAATCTAGGTTAATGTGAATCTCTGTTTTAAAATTTCCAGCAGATTTAAATTTGAAGCACTGGGCTAGGGGGCAGCCAGATAGCCTCAGAGTCTTTGGCAGCCTGGAGATTTCGAAGTCCAGATGGGGATCGGCCTGCTAGGCTGTCGCTGCATTTCTAGTATGGGGCAGGGAAAGTGACTGGGGGTGGCTAGGCCAGTAAAGGCCACTAAAAGGACACATCTCAGGACCTGCCTCCCCCCAGTGCCACACACACACATGTGCACACATGCACACATTTGTCTTTCAAGAATCAGCCATGTTTATAAAGGGAAGGATACTCAGATTTCACTTCCTGGAATATCCTTCCCCTTTGTAACCAGCTCAGAGGTTTTTGGGTTTTGTTATTTTTTTCAATTTTGCCAAAGGGTGTGTGTGTTTGCTGTAGCGAGCCAGAGACTGGGAGTGGGAGGGAGCAGCCTCCGTGAGGGTGAGGGTGGCCACACCGCAGTCCTCCATTTCGCCCTCGTTTCAGGGTTGGGGCACGGATGCGCATGCACCTGCTATGTTTTCCAAGCTCTCAGGGCCAGGATTTGAACCACGCAGTCAGCCCTATGGGATCCGGCTGCCTTAACCACCGGCAGAGCCAGCCCTAATTTCTCTTTTTAAGTTTTGCTATAGGGCATGTGTGCTCACTGGGCAGGAGAGGGAAAGTGCAGAATCACTCCCTGGGGAGGCCGCACCACAACCCCTTCTCCAGTCTCTGCATGGGATCGTGGGCTTGTACGCACAAGTACCTGGCCCAGCGTGTTTCAAGTCACTGGGGACCGGGACCAAAACCGCTCAGGCGGCCATGTGGGATCCAGCGCCTTAACCCCCATGCTGCTGGCAGGACCCAGTTCCGTGTTGGAAGTGTGTGGGAGAAATGTCTCCTTACATGCTTACTCCACCTGTCCAGTTTACGCCAGGCCCCTTCTCCCCACAGCCCCAGGTGAGCGCTGTGGCTGGGTACAAGCAGATGGGAAGGAGCCCTGTTTCCCTCACGTCCGCGGTGAGCACGTTGTGAACGCCGTGACCTGCACCGGAGCTGCCCAGTCTCCTTGGGCTGCCCACGTTACTAGAGCACTTTCTCGCCTTTTTCTTTGTGAGCATCCCAGTGTGTGGATGTGCCGTAACGTCAGCTCTTCCTTTACAAGGGAGATGGGGATCGGCATTTTGAATGGGTCTTGTTGAGTCACGATCTGCCTGCCCGGCCTTCCAGGCAGCTAGGAGTACAGGCACAGACAACTGTCAAGGTGGCCTGGAACTAAACCCGGGCCACCCTGGTGGCTTCAGCCTCTCACGCAGTAGTGCCACTGTGCCATGCATCAGAGCTAGTGAGGTTCACTTTCCCCAGTCCCCTCCCTGTGTGCTTGGGTTGCTTCTAATCTGCGGTTGCGAAGTCACATCAAAGTTTCTGAGGGGATGGGGCAGCGGGTTGCTGTGTGGCATCATCAGATTGGCCAGGAAGGAAGGTCCTGGGTGTGTCATGGGGAGCCCAAGAGCCATGTGGCTCAGCCACCCACCCGCCCACCCCCGTGTGTTTGACTGAGGATAGCTAGGAGATCTGTGTACTGAACACCCTTTTCTCCCATTTTTTTCTTTCAGGGACAATTCAAGCTTTCGAAATACAAAAATCACATTGTGAAAGTACACAAGCTGGCAATAACCCTTTTCTGTATGTGTGTATGTCCGAAATGGATGGGAGGCCTCCAGACAGTCCTTCCTCTGCTCGCTGAAGGGACATCCCTGAGCCGTGGGCTCCCCTTTTGCACTCGCTCCTGGAGGACGGATTCCACAAGACCCTTGAGCATCGCTGACTTTGTAAAGCGGGAAAACGGAAAACGGGACTTTGTCATAGACAAACACAGTTTTTTATGGGGTTCTGTGGGAGAGGGCAGCCTCGCGTTGTACCGTGTGCTGTCCGGGTGCCTCTCGGGCGTCCTGCTTGCTCGGCCCATGCACGTGGGGCATCTGACGTGCATACAGCCAGAGCTGTGACAAGAGCTGTCAGTATTCCGATGTCTGCATCCAGGAGACGCTGTCAGCAAGTCCTGGAGCAGCTGTGAGGGCTCTGCTCTAGCTCTGCCATTAAATTATTGGGACGCTTTGTTTCTTTCTCCGCCCTCTGCCCTGAGTCCCCCGTCTGGGGTTCGTACTGTCTCCTGCCTGCATACCCCTCACCCCCATCTTCCCCCGTGGACCCTCCTTTCAGGCACTGCTGCACTTAGAATGTAACCGTGACCTGCTGGTGTCACTGGGGCCACTGGGGGTTTGCCCGGGTCCATTAAATGAGCAGGATCCAGGTTGATGTGCAGCTGGGTTGTAATGGAAGTCCCAGGTGCAGGTTGTGGAGCTGAGCAGTAACCACAGGTACCGTCTGTGAGCGGGGCTTGTGTGTCAGGCCTGTCCCGGAGGCTCTTGCAAGCCCCTCACTGAGAAAGACCCAGAAGCTGCTTGTTGCCAGATACTAACAGTCGCCGTGGTCGCTCGGTGACCCAGAACTCGGTCAGCTGGCTGACTTCATTCACATGGTGGTCCCTCTCCAGGGTAGTTGGAAAACACCCCTGCAATTCTCGGTCCTCGTCCCTAGTATGTGTGTTAGCAGGTGCAGGCTGACCCGTGGTCCCCAGCAGGAGCCTCTCGAAGCTACCACAGGCGTGCTTCGAGAATGACCAGTTGTCAGAGAAGCTGAGAGACTGGACCCCAGAGGACTGCAGTAAGGTCCCGAGCTCCTGGGCTTCGAATCAGTAACGCACAAGAGCCCTCCAGACAGCTCCCAGCCGCGCTGTCCTACTCTGCTCTTGTGAGCAAAGGTTGCAGTACCTTAAATTAAGGCCTCTCTTGGGAACACGTCCTTGAAGGCTGGGGGGTCCTTGAGCACCTGGTTCAGAAATGAGACGAGAGCAGTGTGTTTGCACCCCCTTTCCTGCTCCCCAACTCCAGGCACCTGCAGTGACCACTGGTTAAGGACGCTGCTGCCTGAAAGGACGGGTCCTGGGGCTGAAAGGTGACGTTAGCTCGGGAAAGGGCCTGGCAGTGATGTGACTCCAGGAACACGAAGAGTGCTTCTGTGTGCAGAGTTGTGAGGGGCTCAGCAGGCCACGGGTGGGGCTCGGGGGCGCAGAGGCTGCCTGAGTGCTGAGACCCCAGGGACGTCATGCTGGCCTAGGCTCAGACTTGCCGTGGAAACTCCAAAGAGCAGGCGTTTGGATTTGCCGTGCTTTGGGTGTCTACCTGAGGGCGCAGGTGTGCACAGTGTGTGGGGGTGTTGTCAGACCTAGCAGGTGTATTGTCCACAGTTTCACTTTTTTGTGTGGTCTCACTTGTCAGATTCTTCTCTTAAGTTTTCTAGAGCTGCTCCTGTTTCCCCTTCTACTGTGTCATAGTAGTATTTGATTTTTACTTTCTGCACCCAAAATACGCTGCCTGTGCTGGTTAGAACGCAAGGCAAGGTCGGCGCCATCGGGGCATCTGGCCCCGGTGTTCTGCCTGGTCTGCTGCCTGCTGGCCCTAAGTGGGAGGTTGACCAGGCAACTGCCCAGGCCTCCCTGGCTGTCTGAACAGGCTCGAGAGGCCTCTTTGTTGGCTCCGACGCTGTGGGCCCGTGACACCTTACAATTATGGTGTCACCTGTTCTAGACACGGGACGACTGCTCAGATGCCGGGGCACGTGCTGGGTGGCCCCTGGAGGACCAACTGGGTCTCCGTGTGCAGCCGCGTTCTCCATTTCCTTTGATTGGATCCTCCTCAAAGCTGGCCCTGTACCTGCCCAGGGCTCTGCTCCTGTGTCCTGTTCATGAGCGTTTGTTCCCCTGTGGCACTGGTAGGGCAATAATTTTGCACCTGGAGCTTGTGGTCCACGATGCTCCAAGAATGAATTCCCGAGTGCTTGCCCGTGAAAAGCGGAGGCCGTGCCAGAGTGAGCTTGCGTTGCACTTTCAGAGCGATTGTCTACTGCGGCAATAAACGGAGGCGTCAGCAAGCCGGGTGTGGCCTCGTTACTCGCAGTGCGGAGCCGGCAGTGCTGCCTGAGCCTGCCTGGCAGTGGCGGGCTCCACGTGCTGTGCATCCTGGAACGAGGGTGCAGGAGCGCCCAGACCCTGCCCAGTCCTTGACCTACATTTATTGTGAAAACACTCTCCAGTGGAGGGTAGTCGTTGCCACGATTCCATTTACATTTTTAAAAGTTTCGCCAGAGGACACACGTGCTCTCTGGAGAGGGAGGTGGGAGTGAGAGCACCCCGAGGGGTGGCCACACCAAAGCCCCTCACCCCTCCTATCAGGGTTTTGAGCACTCACGCACACATGCCCGCTGTGTTTTCCAAACCACCAGTTCTGGGTCTTGAGCCGCAGGGTCCAGGACTTGAACTAAGCATTTGGGATCCAGACACCTTCACCACCACACCACCAGATGACCCCAGTTTACATTTTAATACCATGTTATTTTGCATCCTCCTTATCTTGGGGTAACAAATATTGGACCAAAAGGAAGTTCAAAGGATTTGGTTCTGAAATAAGAGGTCATTGCATGTCTACACTTGGAAAATCTTGTTTCCCTCAAGTGGTTGCACTTAAAGATGGGTGCCCGAGACAGCTAAGGCCATGCTCGTGTGACACACTAAGGGAGAAGGCTGTTGTTGACAAAGGATTTAAAACAATACAGTCTTGGGGCCAGCAGGTAGCGTGGTGAAGTGACTGGATCCCACATGGCTGACTGCAGTTCAAGGCCCAGGCCTGGCGGCTTGAGAATCACACTGGTCGTGTGTGCATGTGTGCCTGAAATCCCGAGAGGAGAATGGAGGAGAAGGGATTGCGGTGTGGCCATCCCCCCGGGGCGCTTTCTCACTTTCTCTCCCTTTCTCTGTCACTCAGGTGAGCATACATACCCTGTGCCAAACTAGAAATAAGAACTAAAAAATGACTCGACTCGAAACAAAACAGCAGTCATCAAGGAGGAAGCACTCTGAGGACAGGTGCTGCGGACCTAGCGCTGGAGACTTTGAGACTCCGGTGTAGCTGCCTGAGCCGGGAGCGGAGGACCCTGCAGGCAGCTGCAGCACCGTGGGTCGGCACCAGCTCAGGAGCTGCCTTGGATAGGTTGCCCACTGGCCGAGCTCCACCCTGCCTCTGGGTGTGCTGCCCAGAGACCAGAGCTCAGTGACCAGCCCAACCCTCCCCTTAGCCACTCGGCGTCCACACACCCTCCCACGCAGATTTGTCCAGTAAGAGGTACCTGGTTGTAAGATCTCAGCTCCTGGGACCAGGAGGTGATGTGGTGGTGTAGTTAAAGTGCTGGATCCCACGTGGGCATCCCTACTGGTGGGCAATTTCTCATCCCTCTCCCCTTTCCAGCAGGCACAAGCCTAGAACGGAAATCTCTATTTATTTAGTTATCTGGGCCATAGGGCGTATGTGCTTGCTGGAGAGACAGACAGAGAGGGAAAGTAAGAACTCACCCCCAGGGGAGATGGCCATGCTACAATCCCTTCTCTGTTCTGGGATTTGGGGAAAACACACGTATGCACTGGACGTGAGTTTCAAGCCACCAGATCTGGGACTGAAGCCGTCGTTGGCCATGTGGGAGTTCAGTGCCTAAACCACTACACCAACTGCTGGTCCCATGGCAAAAAATCCTTTAACATTTTTTTTGAAGAGGTTTATAGGACATGTGCACTCTCTATAAAGACAGAGACAGAAAGTGATAAATCACTCCCCAGGGGGATGGCCATACCACAATCCATTCTCCTCTTGGGATCTTGGTCATGCACACACACATGCATCCAGCATGAGTTTAAGCCACCGGGTCCGGGGTTCGAACTGTGGTTGACTACATGGGAGTCCAGCAACATAGCCATTACACCAACTGCTAGTCTCAACATTTTTTTTTTTTTGAGAGGTTTTTGCTATAGGGTGCGTGTGCTCGCCAGAAATAGAGAGAGAGACAGAGACACAAAGCGAGAAATCACCCCCCAGGAGGGATGGCCACGCCGCAGTCCCTTCTCCTCCATTCTCCTCATGGGATCTTGGACATGCACGCACACGTGCCTGGTGTGAGTTTAAGCCACTGGGTCCGGGACTTGAACTGCGGTCAATTACATGGGACTCCAATGACGTACCAATTACTTACTCCAACTGCTGTTCTCTAGTCCCAACTTTTTTAAAAAACTAAAAAAAGGTTTCACCTCCCCCCAAAGTGAGGGAATGTTAAAGCCCAGCTACCCCATTTCTGATCCAATGTGAAAGAACAGAATGTTGCCAGAGGGCTAAAGGGTTATCAGCCTCTAAACCAGCTTCCCTTCCACCTTGGCCCCGGCCAGGATCTCAAGTGGCCGGGTTCTTTCTTTGGCAGGGCTGATCCGAATTCCATTCCTTTCTGCTCTTTCTTAGAGGGACCCCAGGGCATTCTGGATTGTAGACAGTTGTGCCCGCCCTGTGTGTAGCCACAGCCCACGGCCCTCCTTGGCGATCTCTCCAGTGAGCGGAATAATCCCCTTCATCAGTTCAGTGCCCGAAGTGCCCGAGAGCCCGGGAGCCTCCGTGTACAGGTCAGTGGGCCCCTGCTGCGTCCCCTGCTGGGAGCATTTCTCCCCTCAAAGCCAAGCCAGCAAGACCCTGGTGGAGGGGGCTCCACTTCCACCCTTGGGGGCATTGCCACTTCCTGTTGCCTCCATGCAGCAGTTACTGCCAGGGCATGGCTGCCTCAGCTGCTGGGGCTCCTGAGGGCGTGCTCGTTCCTCTCCTGCGCGCACACGCAGAGAGGTGGGCGTGAGGACACGTGAGAAGTGCACGTGCACACGTCCCCCCAGCTCTGTCCCTAAGAGGGACACTCAGAGGCCAATACCACACTTTGCCCCTGGAACTTGGTTTCTAAAGATGCCGGGACTTGAGGTTTGTGGAAAGGGTCGGCCCAGCCTTGGCACGATTGGTGGCACTGAACTGAAGTGCTGGGATCACGTGGCTGACTGCAGGTCTGGGTCACTGATCCTGCCAACCTGAGGCACCTGGGCAGTGTTCATGTACCCGAGAACCTGACGGGCAGGCTGGGAGAAGGGTCAGGCATGGAACCCTGCTGAGGGCTCTCCCCTCGCGTGCACACACACCACTCTATCATGAGTAAAATAAACTCAAGAACTCTGCATGAGGGACCAGCAGTTAGCATAATGGCTATGTTGCTGGACTCCCATGTAGCCGACTGCAGTTCGAGTCCCGGACCCAGTGGCTTAAACTCATGCCAGGCGCATGTGCGTGCATGCCCAAGATCCTGAGAGGAGAATGGAGGAGAAGGGAGTGTGGCGTGGCCCTCGCCCCGGGGCATGATTTCTCGCTTTCTATCTCTCTGTCTCTCTCTGTCTTTCTGGCGAGCGCACGTGCCATATAGCAAAAACCTCTCCAAAAAAAACAAAAAAGCAAAAAACTGGATGAGTTTGGGACTTGAACTGCAAAGTTGGCCATGTGGGAACTGGCACCATCCTCCCTAGGGGGTGATTTCTTGCTTTGTGTCTGTCTCTGTTTTTCTGGTGAGCGCATGCGCCCTATAGCAAAAACGTCTCAAATAAATAAATACATAAATGTACAGTCTTTATTTTTTATTTTATTTATTTATTTTAGAGAGATTTTTGTTACAGGTCAGTGCACTTGCTGGAGAGACAGAGAGAGACAGAGACAGAAAGCGAGAAAACACCCCCCAGGGGGGATGGTCACACCGCAATCCCTTTTCCCTTCTCTTGGGATTTTGGGCATGCACATGTGCCTAACGTGAGTTTTAAGCCACCCAGTCTGGGACTCAAACTACAGTGGACTACGTGGGAGTCCAGCAATGTACCATTACGCCACCTGCTGGTCCCCAGTTTTCATTTTATAAAATCATGTCAGTGCACCCATGCAGTTCAAGCCGTGTTGTTAAGGATCAGCTGTCACAGATAGGGACGAATGCCAGTGCCCAGGGTGGGAAACAAGCCTGCAGACCCAGACACTGGCAGGCCGAGGCGGGCGGGAGCTGGGCGAGGAGCATCTCATGAGCGCTGTGGGGAGGGCTGTGCGCTGAGGCCCATGAGGCCTACCCACCCTGAGCAGGGGTAGGACAAGCATGGCCCAAAGTGTCAGGCGGTACAGAGAGGGACCCCAGAGAGGGGTTGTGGCTCTCGGAGGGCCTGCACAGGGGTCCGTGTGGGCAGTCCCAGGGCATAGTCCACTCTGCCCCTCAAGGACTCGTCCCATCTCCACTGTGGGTGGGCTTTGGGCAGCCCCCACAGATGGGGCTAACATCTGAAAGGAAGGGGACACTGCCGCCTGCCTCACGTCACCGCAGGGCTAGTGGCCAGACTGTCCCCTCCCAGGGGAAGGGCTTGCTCAGGTGATCACAGGTCGACAGATGGTGGCGACAAGGCAGGAGAGAGGGGCCGTCCCATGACTAGGCAGAATGTGGGACCGGCGTTAACGGTGGGAGTCCAGAGGGCCAGCAAGTGGTATGGAGGTTAAGGTGCTGGACTCCCAATTGGTTGGCCACAGTTCGAGTCTTGGAGCTGGTGGCTTGAAAATCACACCTGGTGCTTGTGTGTGCATGCCCCAAGTCCTGAGAGAATGGAGGAGAGATTGTGGCATGGCCCTGCGCCAGGGGGTGATTTCTCACGTTCCCTCTCACTGGCTCTCTGGTGAGGGCATGTGCCCAATGGCAAAAACCTTAAAAAAAAGAAAAAAAGTGAGTCCAGGGTCATGCCTCCTGGTTAAAGCAGTTGCATCTCATGGCTGTGTGGTTCGAGTTCCCGACCTGGTGCCTTTAAAAACATGCTGGGTAGTGGACTAGCAGGTGGTGTGGTGCTTAAGGCACTGGAGTTCCCACACGGCCCTGCAGGGCCTGGACCTGGAGGCTTGCTTTCTCACTCACTCTCTCTGTGAGATAATAATAATAAATAAATAAAATAAATAGATCTTTAAAAAGAAAAAAACATGTTGGGTGCATGTTTGTGAGTGTTCAAAATCTTT